ATGCCGGTGTTTGCTTTGGGCAGGGAGGAGTGAAAAGTCTTGGCTCTGTGGCAGCGGGAATCTGCAGTGAGGGGTAATCGCTGCAGATTTAACCAGGAGTCCTGGGCTGGTTTATACAAAAGGTGTTTGAACCCCAAGAATCTCTTTGGAAACCAGGTGTGGCCCTTGGGGAAATTCACTTCTGACAGCTCCAGGGGATGGGGAGGAGGGAAACGCCGCAAGCAGGGGCTCTTCATTCCTCCTGCCCTGTCCGGGAGCGAAGATACGCTCAACAAGTGCCTGCGCAGAAAGCTGTTGTCAGCAGGTGAATTACTTCCAGTAATGGGAAATCCAGGGCTGGGGACGTAGGGAGCTTTTTGGCAGACCTGGGTGTTTTCTAATACCTTCCTTGCTGGGACTGCAGCAGAACGATGCACTGTTTCGGTCCTGGGGTGTGCAACTCCCTGCTTTTTGCTTCTCATCCGTAATAAAGCGTCTCGCCTCTAATAGCAGGCAAGACTCTCTTGTTAAAACTCCCTTCTCCGGGCGAGTAACGGAGAAGGCGCGCGGGACCCGCCGGGCTGCGCCGTCAGGTCCGTCTTTGCTAGCGCTTTAGTTTTGCTGTGATCCCAGGTGTTTCAAGAGAGCGGCGGTGTGCTTGCAAGTGGATTTATTTCCACGCCAGCTTTTCCCTCAGGCCAAGCTGCGGTAAGCGAGGGGAGCTGCTCCGGTGCGGCAGGCACCCACACAGGCACGCCGGCTTTCAGCTCCTCGGCGCTAGCGTGGGCTTTTAGAGCCAGCCTAAGCAAATTGCTCTGGAGACGGGTAAGGGGTGTCCTGCCACACAGGGCGAATCCCTTCGAAGACGCCGTGAAGATATCTGCAGCCCAAACAGCTGGGGATGGAAGGGGTACCGAAAGGCAGCGCTAGATATGAGAAATTCCGGTTGTCACATGAGTCAGAGAGGAAAGTATTTCATCCCTGGGCCAGCAAACACCTCTTTCCACTTAATCAGTATAGAAAACGAGGCTAAGATCCTCTTTGCTCTTTGCTTTTTAACTTGAAGCAGCCCAGGGTGAGCTTGCAGGTGAGCAGAAATCATCCCGGACCAGGCGGAACGCTTGCCAAAGGCAAGGAGCGCAGGCGTGCATCCATGTCCTCCCCGGGCAGGGGTCCCCCCCCGGGGGAGCTGCTCCGGCCAGAGCCGAAAAACTTCGAAATGCAGCATGAAAACAACTCTTTGAGGTTGGATTCTGCCAGGCAACGAGTGGCTCCAGCCTGGGTAACCTCCGGGAAGAGCAGGGCAGGGAAGGGGGTTTGGGGTCTCTCGCTTGTTTGCGTTTGGCAAATCTTTTTTTTTTGAGCTGCGTGGCTGTTTGGGAGCTGGTGAGCCGGCCCGCAAGTCCGTGGCAGTCGGCTGCGTTTTGCAGCAGTCACATGGCCTTTGTTTGTGTTGGGATGGTAAAGCTTAGGAAGCAGGTTGGAAAAGCTTAGGGTCCCGTTTTGTTTGTTTTTTTTTTTTTTCTAAAAGGGAAACCCATTGTTTTGTGTGAGAGCCAGGGAGAGCCTTGCGCTTTTCTCCGCACCGCCAGACCGGGCAGAACTTAAAAACCCTGCTCATATTTCTGTCTAGAAGTAGCATTTCTCGAGGGTTAAAAATAGTGAGCAATTTAGCAAAGGAATATATTCAGCCTCAAAATTAGGTTGTGTTTCTTGGCTTTCGGGAAAGCACACCAGGCTCATGCCCCATTACTCACGATAGTAATGACATAGCTCTAAAAACTTGTTGTTTGATATTTGAGGACTAAGACCTACCTCAAAACTAACTCAGCTGAACCCCGGCTAAATAAAAAGGTCATGCTTTCTACCTGCGGTATTATCTTTTATATTGTGAATAGGAATTTTTTTTTATTATTTTTATTTTTTTTTTGGAAGAGGCAAGTTTATTTAGCTGAAATTCCTGTCTGGCACGACGCCTTTGCTTGCTGAAAGCAGCAAGGGAGATTTACCGCTCCACTTGGGATTCCTGTATGCCTGTGAAAGCCTCAGGAAGCTCAGAAACAGTTTGGTAAAGGCGTCTACTTGCGGTATATTGTCTAGATCTTATCTCTTCAAAAATATACAGTTTTATCTTGGGGGAATTGCTTTACATGGAGGTGCTCTTCATCTTGCTCGTGGCTGGGGTGGGAAGTTCTGGGAAGGAGGGAGAAAACACCATTACAGGACTGGGTATGTTAAGTGATTTGTTGATGGGGACACGAAACCCTCGGAAAGAACTGGTAAATAGCCTTCCCTTGGGAAAAGTGTCTGGGAAAAGACCCTGGGAGAACAACACTAAACAGCAGCTGGCTCCTACACACAGTCTGAAGGCATTTCTTCATCCATCTGCAGCTGTTTTCCCGAGAAAAGCAGCTTGGTGGAGGCACTTAGCTTAGCAAAAGTGTTTGTGGTTGACTCAGAGAGCATCTCCCTCTTTCGGAGCAGCGAACCCTGTCCTGGGAAGGGAGCAGCGTCACCAGTGAAGAGCCCAAAATCGGAGACATCCCCGCCAGGGACTCTTGCTCTGCCCCAGCTGAAAATGCTTGAGATGAGGCCCCGAAAGGGGTTCACCGGAGTAAAGTCCCAAATTCCTTCTGCCCAGGGATCCTTTTATATTCCGCTCCCAGGGCTGCGATGCAGGAGAAATAGCTCCTGCCTCTCTGCCCTGCCGAAACAGAAGCAGCCGAGCCCTTTCTTTAGCCTGGGCTGCCCTAGTTTGTTTTAAAAAGGTTTTTTTTTGGAGGTGCTGCTTGTACACAGTCAGTCTTGGGGCAGCCCCCAGCTCCGTGTTTCCTCCTCAGGGCTCTTATGAGAGGTCTCCTAGAGATTTTGAATTTTTCAAGCATCTGTAAATGAACCACCCTTAATTATTAAAGGCAGGGGTGTGGCTTTGCAGGGTTTTGGAAGGGGGCACTTGCTGGCTGGTGGTAGCAAACCTGAGTTTTTCTCTTGCAGATGGTGCTGACCAAAATCGAGATCCGAGGCCGTACCTGCTGGCAGAGTCCCACCGCTCCGAGCGAAGCGTGGCCGCTGTTGGTCACTGGCCTCACCGGAGCACAGAGCAGCCCCGGGAGGAGCCCTCCACCAGCTCTCTAGGACAGATTAAATTTAACCCCACGGTGCGACACGTGGTGATTAATGAGCACAAGGATGTCACGTTTAATTGCTCCATCAAAGTACCTCAGCTGCTGTTCAGGACGGACGCCCCAGGCATTTCCTTGTGGAAGGACGGGAGGGAGCTGCACGTGCTGGACCACATCTCCACCAGCCACTTCGAGATCTCCGATGGGGAGGAGGTGGCAATGACCTCCACCTTCAGGTAATTGGTGCCATCCTTCCTGGAGGGATGCCCTGAGCGTTGGCTCCCAGGGAGAGATGGGAGCCCAGATGGCTAGCAGGAGCTTGGGACTGGGACTAGGACGGGCGGACGCTCCCTAGCCCCCAAAGCCCGGCTCTGCAAGCCCAGCTTCTGCTTGGCATGTGCTGTGGGGTGGTTGGCACCGATTGAAACTCACCCCCAGGCTGGCAGTATCGCCGTGTCCTCCTGCGGGAGCTGTGTGCGGGGCAAGGCTCCCCGCCAGAATCCTGACGTGGTCTCTGTTCTCTCTGGCAGGATCCGTGCCGCCCAGCGCTCGGATAACGGCTCCTACGCCTGCAAACTCAAGATCTCTGGCGTGGAGGTGGTGTCAGATCCCATCTTGGTGCAGCTGGAAGGTGAGCTGGAGGAGGGCTAGGGCGGAGGTGCCGGAGGTGTGGAGCGTTGTGCCCTGGCTGAGTGACAGCCCCGGGGACTGTGATCTGGGACCTGCGAGCTGTCCTCCAGAAATGGGGAATTCCTGGATGGGAAGGGGCTTGTTGCTGGAGCTGGGCACAGCCCCGGGCAGGACAGGTTGGGGTTGTTGATATAGGGCTGTGTTTCCAAGCTCTCTGAATCTCTCGCTCCTCTGACTGTGTCCGTGCAGGGCTCCCACACTTCATCCGTCAGCCCGAGAAGCTGAACGTCACCAAGAACAGTCCCTTCAACCTCACGTGCCAAGCCGTGGGGCCGCCGGAGCCTGTGGAAATCTACTGGTTTCGCAACAACGTCCAAATCAATGAGAAGCCCTACATCTCCCCGTCAGTCCTGACCGTGCCGGGTGAGCCATGCAGCGTCCTTGCCGCGGCCAGCTGGGACACCAATCTGTGGCTACCAGGAAGGGCAGGGTGGGAAGGCGTCTGGTCCCATCTCCCAGCCTGTCCCCTTGGCCTTGCACCTTCTGTTAGGCAGGGGCTGCGTTCCCGGGCGCCGTGGCGAGGCCGTTGCAGCCTGCTTGGTCTTCGTGTGGCACTGTGCCTTGCTGATGCTTGGCTGGAAAGCTCAGCACAGATAAATTTCCCAGGAGGTTAGGCAGAAAATATGGCCGTTAAATTGCATACAGTGAGACGTGGGGGTCCGGCTTTGCAAAAGAGGTACCAGTTTGCAAAAATGACTCCCGGTCTGTTACTGCTCCATCCTCAGCGCTGGGAGCACGGCTCTGCCCACCACCTCTTGTGCTGCTTGTTCGGCAT